ATTATTATTATTATTGTTGTTGTTGTTGTTGTTGTTATTATTATTATTATTATTATTATACAGCACATTTAAGTAAATGTAGTAAAGGTAGATTCATTTATCCTGGTTAAGTCACTTTTGCAGCAGGATACTTTACGGCATAAAGAAAGTTTTAAAGTTCAGCATTTTCAATCCTGCTGACAAGTAATAAGGGTCAGAAAACCTGTAGGTCACAGTTCACCCCTGTTTTTAACATTTTATTTACCGCAAAATTCCCAGTGATAAATTCATCAACTCCTTTCCTCGGCACTTTGAGCATAGCTTTTGATATTTTGTGTGTGAACAGATTAGAAATTTACAACATGAACAGAGATATGTCAGGATATTAGTCAGATCATCTGAATAAGTTTTGTATCATTGGGTCTAGTGAAGGTCAAGAAAATGAAAACTAATTTTTAAAATAATCTGGTGGCAGGTAGAAGATCAAGGAAGTCCATAGTTGTGATTTTATCATCTAAGAAGTGGTTAAATCAACTTTTTTTTTTTTCTTGTTTAAATCAAAAAGTCCCTGGCTGGTTATCAAGTGGCTTCAGTCAGCACCTTCACTTACGCAGTGTGAACAGTTTGTGATTTTTGGGAATGTGTAAATGTGCCAAACACACCATCCAGGTACACGCAAGTGTGCGGCACCAGCATGGATATTTTAAAGGCAAATCTACCTGAAACCTATCAAAGTTCAACATGTGTAACTAGGATAGAAAAACAAAACCAACATTTTTGTCTAAATGTCATTATTTTCAGCTGATTCTTCATGACATTTTACTCTGTGACAGACTACAAAGAAGTTTTAATACAAATGTGTGTATTTTGGAGGTTTTCACTCTGTAGGACAGACTAAGGACGTGTGTAACATTTTATTGAAGWATGAGAAGATCTATTTCAAAACAAAATAGGACACAATCTTGACCCAAAATGCTTGAACACCTAAAACAAATAAATCCAGGTTTGAATGTGTGTTTAAGAGGAAATAAAGTTAAAAGTTAAGTCAAAAAAATACTTTTTCAAATATGTCAGTGGCACATCCACAACAGACATTTTATAAACCACTCTGGGGCTATATTTCTATTTTTTGTTGGTATTTGTTCCAAAAATACACCACTATTTGCATAAGGTCTGTGTGGGAAAATTCCCTTTTATGAATGTCATTTTATGTCACTAACTTTTCTTCATGTATTCAGTTTCAGTTACCACTAGACCGCTTTAAAAAGAAAAAGGTTTTATAACCACATCCCGTATTTACATACAGCATTGGTAAAAATCATTTCACATGTTTATTTGTAAATGAGTGTATTCATTTGATATTCTGGTGTTCTGAAACTGAGCAAATGTTCAGAGACTTTTACAGCCTTGTACACACCGACTGTGTGGAAAATATCCATCCATCCATCCATCCATC